GGTTTTGGCTGCTCTGCAGCAGCTGCAATAGCACTGGTACAGCTGCTCAGTGACGGAAGCCAATATCTCTTATTTTTCCATTATAAGGTTGATAACAAAGCGTCAAGACCTGGAGCTTTCCCTCTGGCCGACAGCTGCAGGAGATCTGGCCCTGGTCAGAGGAGTCAGTGACCTCTGGGAGCATCCCCCTCACTGGGGCAGAGGGAGCAGTGAGGAACTGAAGCCAGGGAGGGGGACTGAAGGCAGTGGGAGTCCAGAGACCTGCTGCCGCGGCTGGGAGCGCTGCCTGGCAGAGGTGTGCTTGCTGCCAACCCTTCCCTTCCATTCATGTGGTTTTTTTTCTCTTTTTTTTCAAGGTACTGGCCACGGTCACTGGACCTATGATGGTAAATACCCTGCAGTTACTCCTGCTTTTTTTCTACCACCCAGCAGACCCTGGGCCTGAGCCAGACGTGGTTAATGATTACAGGGCTACTGTGTGTGCTCCACGTCTCACCCTTCCCTCCTGCCTGACCCTGACGCTTCAGTGGTGCCTGAACCTGGGCACAGATGGGCTGAAGAGCTGGTGGTTGCTCTGGCTTGAGCAGGAAGCAGCGGTTCTGCTGAGGGTTCCCCCAGTCCCCTGGGTGTGGAGGGATGCCCCTCAGGGCAGGGGTTCTCTCTGAACAGGAGGTCCCCTGATCCTGTGCCGAAGCAGGCTGGGTTCTCCAGGCTGGACTTACAGCCCATGCTGGGACTTTGACCTGCCCTGGGATTAGCTTGCATCCTCACCCCTGTCCTCTGTCACCTTCCCTCTCCGCCCTGCCTGGCCCTGCCCTCCCATCATGTTGTGGGGGGCTTGTCCACAGCACCCATGATGGGCATCGCTGCAGTGGTAGCACAAACACACCCCTTCCCGCTGCGGTGGTGGGCCAGGCCCCCGCACCTGCTCGGGACCAAGGGCTGGCTTGGACCTGCTAACACCCAGCTCCATCTTTACGGGGGTCCTGTGAGGGGCTGGGACGAGCCAGGGTTTGCACTGGCCCAAGATGTGCTAGCAGCAGCTCCGTGCAGTGCAAGGGAAGGTTTCTGGGGCATCAGCCGTGCTTATCCCAGCCATGGAACTGGGGAGAGGTGGCAGTTCAAGCAGCCATCCCAGCCATGTGAGCTGGCCCTTTGCAGGGCTGTAGCAGTGCAGTTAGCAGCCGGGAACCTGTCAGACCTGTGGCAGTGGGCTCGTGTGATCCCAGCAGTACTGTGGTACCTTGCTCAAGTACCAGCATGGGTGAAGTGGTGGGTCGATACCTGCCAGAGGCCAGGCTGTGCAAGGCAGCAAGCGTGTGATGAGCTGCAGAGCAGCAGCTCCTCAGCTTGCCAAGTCCACTTGTAAATGATCTTCTCGCACTCTTCCCAAACACCCCAAAAATAGACTTTCCTGGCAGCTCACCATGGTCCGAGACCTTTCCTGATACAGCTGTATGCAGTCACATGGTGGCAAAGAGCTGCTCCCAAGCTATCTTGATGGAAACTAACCTTGCATGCGTGGCTTATTCCCTGGCCATGCCTGTCCCCTTCCCCACCACCCACCAAACCTCCTTTTTGGCGGGCTCCTTGGCCGGGCAGTCTCACTGGCTCTCCCTCCCTTCCTCCTCATACCAGACACGGACCAGTGGGGTGTGGACTACCCGGACTGTGCGGGCAACATGCAGTCGCCTATCGACATTGACACCACCAAGACCGTCTTCAGCCCCCATCTGCGGCCAATCCAGCTCTCTGGCTACAGCCTGCCCGCCAGCCAGAAGCTCAAGCTGAGTAACAACGGGCACACAGGTGGGTGCAAAGCCACAGGCAGACACTGGGGCACAAGCAGAGCCTCCTCAGCCTCTCCCGGCAGGACTGGGCTTCTCTGACCCGCTTCCCCTGGGCTCTGGTGAGGGGATTATCTTCCAGGCTACAATCATGTTGCCTTCAAGGCCAAAAGGGAAGCATCAAGCTGTTGAGCCTTTACAGGTCCATGTGCTTTTCTGGCTGGAGGGGAGAAACCTGGAGATGGAGAACTCGCTACTCACTGCCTTTGGGAGCTGGCTCCAGGAATTTGTTAAAGGAATGCATGTTTCCTTCAGAAATGTGTCCCTGGTATTTCTAACGCAGGTTTGCAGCCACTAGTTCCTCCCCTGCATTTCACTTTCAAAGGACTAGTCAGTCTCTGATGTGGCTTAGCCTTTAAGGTACCTACCTCTCTGTTAGGACACGGCATTGGCCAACTTCTTTAAGTCTGTGTTTCAGAATACTGTCTCAAGATCTTTAAATTTTTATAGGTCTTTTGTTTCCCTTCTCTAATTTTAGAATGCTTTTTGAAAAGTCTGGACACAACTTATTCACATTATTTTAGTATCAGTCTCGCCATGCCAGGTATGGAGGAAAACTACATCTCCTTCCCACTCACCACCTTACAGCTGGGGATGGTGTGTCCTGGTTGCTACCAGCTTTTTGTGGGAGAAAGCTGAGCGTTTTGTGCATGCTGGTATCTGCCAGTCCCCAAACTAAGAAAAGGTGACGGAGAAAGCGACTTAAGAACTCGCTGATGGTGTGTTAAGGCACCTCTTTACCCTGGTAGCTAATGAGATGGAGCTGACCTGTGTATACAACAAACTCAACAGGTCAGACTCACTGTGCATGGTCAGATTGCCTGTGCAGTGCATGTCCAGAGCTTTATATTATGGTCTCCTGCCCTAGCGTGCCTGCAGAGTTAAACTAGTTGAGCTCAGTAGTTGCTATTTTAGACACCCTGGCATCTGGTGTTGCTTGGTGTTTGGAAAAGCAGTCAGAGCATTTTCATTGGGGTGGGGGGGAAGTAGTTCCTCACATGTTTATAAGATGCCTTTTCTTATTCTAGCAGCTCCCAGTCTGCCTTATGAAAAGCCATAAATAAACAGAAAGTTGCAAGTCCAGTAAATATCTGGGCAGTTACTCCTTTTTGTAATATAAAGTGTATATGCTGTACAAGCTTTTTCAGGGCCTGAAAATGACTCAGGTAGCTAGTAGACGGAATGCAATCATTTAGATATACAAAAGAAATATAAAAGCAGATAAATCCCCAGTCTCCCACTTCCCGTATTAGAGTTCTGTATGCCTGAACCCAGTGGCAGGTAACACGGGAGAGGACAAATGACTCACCACAGCTGCTAACATGGTTAATCCCGGACCTGCACCATAGCTCGGTGACATGACTAAGGGACACTTCACCTATAAAGAACGAGGAAGTAAAAGAGTTGACATGAAAAATGAGGGAAAGGTGCTTAGAAGGATAGGATGGTCTTTCTCAGGGTCCAGGGATGCTCCTGATATTTTGGTGAGTGTCCAGGTAGCTCAGCTTTAGATTTGCCACACTGCTGCATGAGTCCAGGATAGCTGGCTAAACCACATTAAAATAAAGTACAAGGCAAAAACAAGTATGTATTTACCATACCCAGAAAGGCAAAATTTTAGCTCTAAATGCTTTAAAAATATTTAATGCTTACGTGCCACCAGCTCCAGTGCTGTCAGACACTCACAGGCTGCTTTTTGTGAAAGGTCCCAGCTGGCCAAGCGCTGCAGCTCTGTCCAACCACCCTGCTCTTGCAGGTATTCACCATCCTGCCAGTATCTTTCTCCATGGATTTTGTCCACAGTCTCTTTATATTATTCTCACTTACCGAATAAATTGTTGGGTAATATTTGGCTTGGAGCTGGGCCTTGGGATTCTCTGCAGGTGAGCTATTCGCTTTCCAGCATTTTCATAGCAGCTATTTTTGAAGCTGATGTATTTATTGGGGTGTCCTACAACCTGAAGTCGAAAGCTGAACCTTGCTGCACTGGCACAGCTCTGGGTGTCAATTTGCCCATAGCCTCATGAAAGATGAAAAGCAAGTGGTTTTTTTTTTTGTTGTTGTTGTGACCAATTTCCACAAGCCTC